GTAACGTTCAAAGTAACGCGCGCAATAACTTGCGCGTGTTATGGCCCTTAACTCTCTTTCATCGTGCCACGTGGAAATACTTGGATTAATGAGATTTGCCCGAGAGCGCCTATGATTTAGGATTAACGGACCGAACAACGGTGATCCCGGCTCTTTCGTACTCCGTGCGACTCATTATGGCGGCCAGAACCAGTTTGCACTTTGATACCGTGTCGCCGACCGTGGCCGTAAAGCAATTTTACAACGATCGATGGCACTTTAAAGACGATCTTTCGCCAATGCTTATCGCGAAAATAAAATAAAATGTTACTGGATTCGATGCAGTTCGATTTAAAGCGTCGGAAATTGCTCGACTTTGCCGGCGACCTTATGGCGCTGATTCGGCGAACGAGGCGGACGGAAATATTCCGCGGAACGGAACGAGTCAGGGCCGCGACCGACCGGGAATAAAATTAGACAAGAGTGACTGTTCTACGTGGAGGAATGCGCAACAAAGTTCGATCAATTAAGAGTTAACGAAGAAAGAAGAAACTCGGTTGTTTCTCCCGCGATGGCCGAGGAGGGAACGAGAGAAGCGGCGCACGGAGAAGGAGGGAGCGAGAGAAATCCGCTTTCTGCAATTAATCGCATCAAGGACGACTTTCCCAGGCCCCGAAGAGACGTCGAGGGAAAATTCATCGAATCGAGTCGCTCGAGAGGCACAATGGCCGGTTGATCTCCTTAATTGAAATGCTTTAATTAGAGCCTCGTCCGAAGAGAGAACACAAAGGAAACAGAAAGAGGGGCCGAGGGGAGGAAAAACAGAGATGGAGGAGGATCGAAGGAGTCGTGTCACGAACAGCCGAAGCTTCTTTTTCGCGAAACGAGGAAAAAGAAAGTTCTTTCCCAGGCGCCGCTCAACGGATTCCACAATGGGCCGGATTCCCGCGTTCATTAGACGCGGATGCTTAATTTTAATCGGCCTCTCATCGGGCGAATATGATCTCGAGAAGGGAACAAATTCGTTGCAATTTCCTGCCACCTGAAGACAATCAACCGTGGCAAAATCCGACAATTGGCTACGAATATCCTCCAATTAATTAGCGCCGACGGGTTTCGACAAACGAAAGAAAATATCTCGAAAGAGAAATCCTAATTAACGCGACGCGAGCTATCAATTAAAAAAAAAATATCGCCACTCTAAAAACCCTGCATTTTTATTTATTCATCGAATAATGCGTTTGACCGAATTACTAACACCCCAATTACTGTCCCCTTAATCAAGCATCTAATTCGTTATGCAATGCATTTTTCATCGATATTATCTGTAATTTCTGCGAATATTCCATTAAAAATACATTACCGATAAACTGTTAATTTTACGCAATTACGGCGTACGCTAATAGGGCAAATACGTCGAGTATATTTATATTGGTACGAATAAAATATTCTGCATACGGTTTCAATATTTTTCGCATCGGTACACTCTCTGCGAGTGCATAAAATTCACGTGTTTTTCAAGAACGTTGTCGACAACGTTAATGCTTGCATTTCGTACTAATTAACGAAAAAAGAGAGCAATTATGGGAACATGCCCGAAAAGTCCATTTGGCAAGAACGAGGTAGAAAAGAAACGCACGGTCGGCATTAAGAAAATCTAAGCAATCGCGATAATTGTTAGTAACCTTGCAAACTCGTGTAAAATGGTCGCTTATTTCGTATCCCGAGGTGCGCTGCGTAGGTTTAAATAACGGGAATTTGCGTAATGAGCCCGAGAAGGCATTTAAACGCAGCTGACGTAAACAGGACAAACAATCTGACAAATCCCTGCAGGTATAGAGACTCGCGCAATTATCGAGGCAACCGGTCCGATGAAAAGGAACCCCACTTACGCTACGTACCCCAACCGTCTGTGGTTTCTGTTTCTCCGACCTTTTTATGCCAGCGGTTTCCAAACTTCTTGGAAGGCAACCCCCTTTTCACGTTCAAATTATTCTCATTTACACCTCTAATCGCCTCGTGACACCCTCTCGCCTCTAATTTTGAAAAAGACCGTGTTACGCAATCGTCGTTGTCTCGGCAACGATCTGCTTCTATCTGAAACGGAAGACTTCCACTTTCACTTGTTACTAAGCGACCGCTCATTCTGCTTGTCAACGCCACGCAACGAACAAGTCACGCGTGCAATTATCGAGGTTCTACCGAATACATCGCGTCCGTGCACGTACAACGCGTAATTAGGTAATCAAGATTCGCGCGCGAGTCCGATAATTTATTCGGAACGCGGAATTTACACGTCTCGAGATTCACGCTCGATAACCGCTCGCGTCCTGTTCGCCAGGTGAGTTTTGTTCGATTTTGCAACGCGATCTGGGAAATCAATTGTTCTTTAAACCGTTTCGTGACCTATTGGCGGGATTTTCTTTCCGAAAGCGGACGTTCACCGAGTCGGTCCGCTCTGCATTCTCATCCGATATTTTTTCCCCGCTTTCTATTCCCTTTTTCGGGGGAGTCCCACTTTCGGATCGTTTGCGATAACCGGCCTCTTTCGTATGCAAAGACCCGGTCGCGATACTGTTATTGTTTCTAAACGAGCGTCCAGCCACTGCGTGCCTCGGGAATTTAATCTTTCGCCGGAGAAAGGTTGCTCCTCGCCGATGAAACGTTACGCGGACATGTTTGGGCGACGGGAAAAAGGCAACGCGTACATACAGGCTGGGAAAAATTTTAATGAGGGTTTCCAGAAGCCAAAATAAGACGAAAATCAAGAATATCAAGTTACTGATGGAAGCTTCGTTAAAAAGTTATTAACAATTAAATTCCAAAATTTCAAATCGTTCTGGAAAAATTATGATCGGCCGCGGGGGTCAATTACAATCATTTTTTGTCATTACACATATCCCCGAATTCCTACGCAGTTTCGAGAAAAAAATTCGAGAAGGTGTGAAATTTTGCGACGAGAAAAAAAATTTCAAATCGTTCTGGAAAAATTATTTTTACCTACGGGGGTCAATTACAATCATTTTTGGTGAATAAACATACTCCCGAAATCCTACCCATTTTCTAGAAAAAAATTCGAGAAGGTATGAAAGTTTTCGAGGAAAAAAAAATTACAAATCGGTCTGAAAAAATTATTTTCTGTTGCGGGGGTGAATTACAATCATTTTTGGTGAATAAACATACCCCCGAAATCCTACCCATTTTCTAGAAAAAAATTCGAGAAGGTATGAAAGTTTTCGAGGAAAAAAAAATTACAAATCGGTCTGAAAAAATTATTTTCTGTTGTGGGGGTGAATTATAATCATTTTTGTTGTATAGACATACCCCCGAAATCCTGCGCATTTTCTAGAAAAAAATTCAGTACTGGTGGAACTTTCAATGTTAATAACTTTTTAACGAAGCCTCCATCAACAAATTGGTATTCTTGATTTTCGTGTTATTTTGGCCTCCAGAATCTCCCATTAAAATTTTTCCCAGGGGTGGCTGAACACCCTGTATACTGTAAAGCTTTTTTGCATATAAATCAAAAACTACCACAAAAATCTAAAAAAGGAACAATAACGGAGGTGTCGAATTTAAACCGATGTTTCCCCGGGAGGTAAAAAACGGCGAAGCGTCGGCGCGACGAATTTTTATCGGGGGTTTTTTGTTTTTATATTCCAACGAAAGAAGACAAAGAGGGGTCGCGAGCCGAAACAACGGGAACTCCGCGGTGGAAGCTTCGAAATTAGCATTTCAATTTGTCCGCGCAGGTGTTTCGCAGGCTGCAACCGCGACGCGGAGTCGACGACGATCGACGAGTCGTGTCGTGTTGCGTCGCGTCGTGTCGCGTCGAGTCGAGTCGTCAGCCGGCGAGCACCTGACATTTTCAATGCAAAGCCTCCGCACACAATACTCGAGGCATAGCATTTACATAGCCGCCTGCACGCTCCTATCCTATCTTATCTGCCTTTCTACACCGATGAACGAACGTTATTACGTTCGCGCACGCGAACCGTCGGTTATTTCTTTCCATTTTTTTGTTCGCGATCGAACTCGCGGAGAAAAATCGGATCGCGGTCGGCTTTGCCCGCCGCGGCATAATAGCGGTTTAACGATACGAGGCAAATTTCAAAGCTTTTACGAGGCCCCCGCGGACCGTTCTACGCCCTAACGAAGATGCACCGACGTAATTGGCTTTCGATTGTAACCCGGCTACCTGTTAATTTATCAATGGACCCGCGCGCGCGAGCTAGCGAGCAGATGGCGGAGTTAATCCTGTGATTGAACGCGGCCTCGCGGTTCGCTACGAGCCAAAAGAAGCGAATCCGGACGGTTCTTACGAAACGATCGCATTAATCATTTCTCAGCACTCTTTCTAACGAAGCCCGAAAAGAACGAAAACAAAAACCCGTTGACGGAATCTTTTCGAAGACACAACACGCCACACACGCCCTTGTAATTGCATTTACGAGCGCGGATGAACCATGGAAAAAGTATCCCGGAGACGTTACAAAATGATGCAAATGTCAACGCTGACTACCGCCACCTACAGACATTCTTAATAAATGAGGTGTCTCGTTTACGGCGTGGAAAAGGCAACGCGCTCGTCCGCCAAAAGAAATTGTGTACTGGAAACAAGCTGCTTTCCCGTCCCCGTGTACTATACCCACGTTACCCGTAGCCTCCTTCTCGACGTATTCTATGGCAACATTTTTCTTGCTCCCTGTCGGGAAACAATATGTCCGCCGCGGCGCGTGTTCGCGCGGGAAAGAAACGAAAGATTAACGCCGTAACGCCGAGGGAAACGGTCCCGTAACAGATCGTCGGCGAACGTTTCTATATATGCCCGTTAAAGCATTAACGCGCCGTAACTTTTCAGCGGTCCGAACAAACGCGGCTCGTTACGTTCCTCGTTAAACGAACGAGCTTTTATTGCGAGCTACGACGCGTACTGTTATCGTTAACTGTACAAGAGAACGTAAAGCGTAACTAGATACATAGCGTGATCCTCATCGAGGAACTTTCACAGCGGTATTTACCTTAGAGCGCGTTGTGTGGTCTTCATTTCTGGCTGTTTCCCCGCAAATTCTTCGAACCCAATACGTCCCCCTCAGCGTCGATCCATCGGTTCGTTTCGGGCGTTCGAGCGCACACCACGCGTATCGACGAATAAAATAAAAGACAGCACACACGGGGGCACAGCTAGGCACGCACAACGCGGGGAAAAAACCACTTTTCTAGGTTACCCTCGCGAGAATCGAATCAACGATGCTGGATCGAAAGGACTCGACGAGATCACAAACTGCATCGATCACTATGGAACAACTTCTCCGGACACGACCAGGGCGGATCGAAACCTTCCGTGGATCGTTCTCGTTCCCAGATCTCCAAATCGACCGGACAGTTTACACGTTACTTCGGCGCGAAGACAGATTGCACTTCCATCGAGTGCGCAACGATAAGACGCACGAATTAGATTAGTGGGACTCGCGACCGAGACACTTGGAGGTTAGGTCGAGCACGGAGAGAGCCACATAACCTCTCTTTCACCAACCGGACGATCCTGCGACCGTGGCGTCAGCGACGAACTCTTCCGCGCCGTCGAAACACCCGACTCTGTCGTTCATTTTATTTTCACGATGCATGCTTCGACGACTGCCATGTACCCCGGTAGAGACGGTTACGATTGTAACTAGCACGTGTCACCGACTCGGATCGATTCACTGACAACTGTCCTCGTCACTCGCGAAATTCTTTTCGTCTTTGCTCCTCGGTGTCCTCCGAAAACTAGATCGCAAGAAATCGAGTGACGCGAGCATCACGACGTTCGCGCGTCGGTGTACGGATCGGTTTCTTGTTATCGTCTCGAACCCGACAAACCTTTGCCCCGAACGCAAAAGCGTGCCACTTAACGAATGACCGATGCCTCCTTCCGACCGGCAGGACTGGTTTACGCGATAAACACGCGGCCGGGCCCCGGGTTCGCGAGAAATCGATTCGTGGCTCGCGACACGATGAAAAACAACCGCGTACGTAAATCCACGCGCGAGCTTCCTGGAACGGTACGCGTGATACGCAGAGCAGATACCGACGATCCGGGGTTTGGAAAGCCGAAAAACTTGGAATCGCGCGCGGCAGGTGCAAAAGGTGCCGGTTTACACCGAGAATCAACGACCACCACTCTTTGCCAGGTCCCAACCGAGAGGTCCACCGTACGAGGACTGGTTCCACGAGACTCCCCGTGCTCGACCGGCCAGACTACTTCGGACACGATAGAAGGAGAGGGGAAACCGCACACAGAAAGAGAGTGTTCGGCCGAGCGACGACGGAGGGGCCGAGGAGCGTGTGGAGAGCGGACTCGTGGAGTGTGGGTCCCGTTCTTCGGAGAGAGGCTTGTTCCAGCGAGCGCGAGGAAGTACTGTTACTTAGACAGAGCCTTCGGGGCCCAGAACGTGCTGCAAAACGCGATGCAGACCGGGACGCGGTGCATATAATTCCGGAGACGTTCGGTCCGGCAGATGGGAAAAACACGACCGTTTTCGCGAGACTGTCTCTCGCGTACCAACCGAGACACGGAACGCGCGTATCGACGGAGCTTGGGTTAACCGATTCGCTCCCGTCTTTCCCTTTTCGACCACCGTGCTTCAAGGATGCATTTATTTTTCTTTTCGTTACGAACTTGCAGCCGATGGGATCCGGTATCCGGTATCCGGTATCCGTCGATGTCTCGATAGCTCCGGTTTCGTCTCGAGGCCTACACGGAAAGTCCGACGACGACGCGACGCGGACCCGTATTTATCCCCGAATTACCAAACTCGTGAAAGTCGGGTCGCGCGAAACGAATCGTACGATCGCTAGAATGCACATTGCGGTATAAACGTATCGCATGTAACGTGTACGCGTGCGTGGACACGCACCGACGAATCGCGTGTCCTCGTTCACCCTCTGTTTACTTCTGTGCACGCGAGATTTCAGCGAAACGTAGGCAGACCTTCGCGCAGCCAGCTATATCACCACAGCCCTCCGCGCTCGAGCAGAAATACATAATCGGGGTACGGTGACAATTTCGAATTCCTTTCCTAGATTTTTTTCTCTCTTTTGCTTTCTCTCCGTGTCTTTCTTTTACCGTCGAGGCCGGAATACAAGGTACGACGGATACGCTCACCGCTCGGTGGTCGCGGCTCGACTGGACGACTGGCCGCCTCCGCGCTATTACCCGCCGTGCTCACACCCGTACCAACCGAACCGGCGCACCCCGCCTAACGCGCTACTACCCAACGTGCTCGCATCTTAACTCCTACCTGTGCCCGTGTCATATGCACCACGTATGTGTCGTCGGTGGCCACTGATACTACAACGATCGGGTGTAACCGGTTTCACCGATTTTTTCCCGAAAAGCCCTCGCGACCGTTTGTAAAATTGTTTGCCCTTTGTCGTTTCTTCGAGCGCGCGTTTGCTCGTGGAAAATACACCTTGACCCTTACTTTCCTACCCACGGAACAGGGGAAACATCGAAACCGATCCAGAATTCTATCCTCCCTTTGTTTTAACGAAGGGTTAATATTCTTTCGAGGAAACTACAGTTTTCGGTAACAATTTTAGTGAAATATCGTAGGAGACTAAGTAACCGACGTTTCCTGACTCGTAAAAAGATAAGTGAAATGCGTTCGAGGGGAAGGAAAAACAGTGGCTACCTGTTCGAAGCTGCGTAACAGGAATGAATTTTTCAAAATTCCGAACCTATAATCGTCATGCACTGGATAATGTAAGGTGACACCAAGGCAGTCCGGTACGGAATCGAGATGCAATACTAATATCGCCGTGACCAAGCGCGATCGAACAGAGATTTCCCAGCTTCGATGCACCGTCGAACTTCGTTCGTTTCGCGACGTTTACGTAATGAATTCTTCGTGATAAAAAAGCATCGTCGGTACCGTAAAACCGTAGCAACGAAGCCCGAGCGCGATTACGTCTACGGCAAAAGTAGGAAGTTCGATTTTTGCTCTACTTAAGAAGCAAAATGATTCCCGTTTCTACCAAAGCGTGGAAACCACTCTATCGAACGAGCACAACTCAAGGGATTGTTCCGTAGCCATCGAACCCCCCCATTTCACTTTCCACGGGATTTTTTCTCACGGCGTTTTCGATTAATCACAGCACGAATTGAATAGCTTTGTACGGGGAATGTTAATTACAGAAAATTATACGATTCACTGACTCGATTGAATTCCGAGTCGACTTTCCCCGACCGGTAGCCTGTTGCTCTCGATTCGGCGGACGCGGTTTCGACTTTTACGAGTGACAAAGTCTCGCAATTTGTTTACCGAAAAAGCAACTGCGCGTTCCTAGGAAAATTCCCAAACTCTATCCGTAGTCGTAAAACAATTTTGCTTCGATTATGCCGCTATTATGTTCCCGTTGAGAGTCTCAATAATTTATGATCCCCGTCTGCACGCGGCCATAAATAAAACGAAAGCTTTGAAAGAAAAGAAAAAAAAAAAAAAAGGCACGATCTCTGTTAATCCGATAAGATAGAATAATGAAATTGCGTTTAACCGTCATAAATCTCTGTCGAGGGTTGCGCGTTGCATGATCTTTTGAAGGTGCAATATCAATGCGACGAAGCCTAGGGAGGCGAGCTTTTGAATCGCCGCTTAATAAATTGAGTCATTAGGAGCACGAGGCAGAACACATAGCGAATGTAATCCCTTGACGCTGTGCAGCAGCGATCGCGATGCGACTTTTAACAATAAAACCAGAAACCAGCGTGTTTTTGCGCTCCGTAACATGATGTACGAGTATATGTATAGCACACGCGGTACATTTCTTTGTCGAGTACTCGCGGCCGGAGATATTCTTAGACACGGTTTGATATTGCAATGCTAAATTACAACTTTCGTGTCAATGTTCCGATTTAATAATTTCTCTCTACACGGCCGACCTTTGATTCAGTGTGTCTGTAAAATTTCAGATTCGAGTGATACAAAACGAAGAAACGATTACGACAGCTTTGGCTCGACGGTCGAAAAAACAGAACTCGCGCGCATCGACGATCTGCAGCAGTGCAACCACAACAAGTGGCGCCTGGGCCACTTGCGGAGGAAAACTCCCTATGCGTCCTAGGGTATTTAAGTTAGCTATAGTTTCTAGTCGTAGGATGGTTAGTTTTAAAATCGTTAGTTGGTAAACCTAGTTTTAAGCAGACGCGTACTGTTTTGTTACCTCGAAAGATTCACTTACTCTGTGGCGATCGATTACGATAAATGTAAAAATGTACAAAGATGAATAAAGTGGTTGTATATCAAGGAAATAGAAATCGTTTCGATAAGTCTCCCCCATTTTGACCATAGCGGATCGTTACAAGATTAAGATTGCACCGTCATCTGTGCATATGTTTGGCGTATTATGCACTATTTCTCGATAAACTTGGACGTTCTGTGTATAGATGGCGGTGGAATCTCTCTTATAGTATCACTTGCAACGTTGCCAACAGATTTAGAAATGAACACAAGAGGAAGTGAGACAGAAAATGAAATTACAGGTATTTTTTAACGGAACGAAAGCTGTACAGTCCAGAATTGAGCATCAATCGATTAATTTCGAATAATTGGAGTCACCAAGCGATTAAGATTATTTAAAGCTATCAAGACTATTAAAATGCGTAAGGGGATGTACCTCATTGATAACTACACCGCAAAAGAAGAAGCTACGTGAGACTATAAGAAGAACGCAGCCATTAGCCCATATTATTTGCTATGTAATTAATAATTATATTAATTATATAGTAAATAATATGACCCGGGTCTCACCGCGAGGAGGTTGCTGCGTATGGAGACCCGCCCTAGCCTCGCCCCAACCACCCTTCCTTTGGCGAGGAATTCGAATACCTATCCAAGAGAGAAGCTATCGAAAAGTTAGAAATGAGCTAAAAAGGAACAAGTTCTTAAAAGAACTGTCCAATCAAGAGATGAAAGGCCTAACGAAACGTCAATACATGTGAGATGACACACATGTTTTCTAGAAACGAAATTGAAATGTGCCTAACAAAATGTTGATACATGTGGGATAACCCAGCACATGTTTTCGAGAAACGAAATTGGAATTGTGCAACTGCACGTACGAACTCTGATCGATGAAGAGATAAAAAACCTAACGAAATGTTGATACATGTGAGATAATTCAGCACATGTTTTCTAGAAACGAAATTGGAATGTGCGACTGCACGTACGAATCCTGATTACTAAAGTATCAATGTGTACTTTATTCCTAATTGTTCCTTCTTAAATAAATACTTGCATTATGACAAGACACTCGTACAAAACGAAGAAAGGATCCTGAAGATCCAACCATAAATGTGCAACTGCACGTATGGACCTTGCATATTAGAATACTAATATGTATCTTAATATTAATCATACCAACTTAAATTTACGCACCGTTTCGGTAATACTTAACAAACGGCAGGAGAACGCTTTTTTATCTTATAATCTATATACATTTGTACTTATATTCTAACGCAATCCGTAGAAACATGAAGAAATATTCTTCTTGGTGTCTTCATCAATCCCACGATGTTTTTCTAAAACATACACCCATATACAATAAATATAACCGATATAAAACGAAGATATGACAAGATATTTTCTACTTGGTGTCTTCGTTACTCCCACGATGTTTTCCTGAAACAAAAACGCATCCAATAAAATATGTAACTCATATAAAATAAATAAATATGAAAAAACATTTCTTCTTGGTGTCTTGATTAATCCCACGATGTTTCCCTGAAACATAAATCAGACAATAAATAAAATTGTATGAAATATTTCTTTAAGAACGATCAAGATGGAATCCGTGTACCATTTCAATTCCATTCTTCAATGATTTTATATCCTGTAACAAGAACTTGTTCAAAGGATTAATAGCTGAAATGAAAGTGTATTAATGGACACAGAAAAAAATAATATTATATTATGAAATTAATATTTGAACTGAAGTTTCCACGAGCAAAAATTGATATTAAAGAATTTAAAAACATAAATACTATGTAATTGAAATTAAATGAAAAGTTAAATTCGTCTCAGTGTTAAGATAAATACGAAATATTCATTTATCAAATAAAAAATTTTTCAAGACGTATACATTGCGATAATTATATTTTACTGTATTCAAAACTAAATTAAGTTCATACAGAACAAGCAATAGCGAACGAAAATGTCGATTCTACGCGGAAATTAACTCTCAATATGAAATATCGAATTGCAATTTGCATACCCTTTTGATACAAGCATTCTATTTTCCATCGATTAAAACAATGATCGCGAGCAAACTTTGATTTATGCAAAGAATACAGAATATTTATAAAAAAAATCCACTATTTATAAATAACAATTAGGTCGAAAAGGTTATTATATCCCGTAAAAATGATCAACTCTAATAATGAATAATTGGTGATATATATATGAATCATGAATTTAATCTATGACACAATTAATTACAATACAGCATTTTTAAATGCATCACAAATCTGTGATCAAAATATATTCATAAAAATTACAGGTTTTAACACGTTTTGAAAAAGAAAATAATTGGTCTATTTACACCAGTACTTTCAAGCAGTGTTTTCATTGACAAAGATATATTTTCCACTCATAAATTCAAAAAACAACCCGTGAGTGGATTTCTTTCGCAACGCTAATTTATAAAATATAAAAGTATACGCGAGTGGTGCTTATTATTCGCAAAATGAATCACACAGGACTCCTTTATTAATTAAATCGCGTGCACCCATATTCAATCATGCGCAACACTAATTTTAATAATTATGTAGAGCCATTTGAGGCTCTGTAGAATCCCATCTTGCTTCTTGATGATCTTGAAACAGTGGCCAGCGTTTTGGCTAGCTTTTGGGCATTGGATCGCAACTCTAATTGATAAAAAAACGCGACAAGTCAAGATCGCAACGCTAATTTATAATATAAAAATTCCAAACGCGATTTATAACAATAAAAGCAACCGCGAATGGTGATTATTCGCAACGCTACCCTGAAAAGTAAACGCGAAAAATAGTAATTCGCAACGCTAAGAGCAAACCGATCGGTTCATTCGCAACGCTATTCTTAAATAACGATAAAAGCAATCGCGTATGGAATTCGCAACGCTGACCTGAAAAGGAAACGCGAAAAATAGGAATTCGCAACTCTACAATCAAACGCGATTATTGTATATTCGCGACTCTATCTTTAATGGAAATA